AGAATCGTAAATCGATTCTGCTCTTGGCAGAGATATGTTGTGAATATAGAAAGAGATCTGTGACATTTATTCTGGGATAACTACCACTAACGACAATCCCTCTTGGGATAACTTGAGGGATGGCAGTAAGTAAAATTATGCAAATCAGATTTCGCTCTATCCCAGAGATCTATTTATGATTTGCTTAGCCTCGTGCTAGAAAGTTAGGCGTGATCGCGTTCCGTCTTCATAAGCTCGAGTTAACATCTCATTAACACAGATCACAGGTAACTGAGACTATGAAAGTCATAAACCATCACATATTGCTCAGTTACTTTAGAAACCGTTTAATATCATCTGATACTGCGAGCTCGTTAAGCGAATATGCTGAGAGAAGTGACATTTGTCGGCTTTTGTATTCGGAGAATATTTAGGGTTTTTTTATCAAAAAAGATTTTCATTTCCAGCCAAAAAAAAATCTTCATGAGATGCATAGACGAAGACCCAGTTTGGTATGGATACTTACTGGATATTTATGGATCTTTTCTTTGACAGTGCTTACATTGCAGCTAGCTTCATCTTCATTCACGTACTTGGTTGGTTGGTTGTTTAACGCCGCACTCAGCAATATTCCAGCTATATGGCGGCGATCTGTAGATAATCGAGTCTGGACCAGACAATCCAGTGATCAACATCATAAGCATCGATCTACGCACCTGGCATACGATGACATGTGTCTACCAAGTCAGCGAGCCTGACCACCCGATCCCCGTTAGTCGCCTCTTACGGCAAGCATGGGTCGCTGAAGATCAATTCTAACCCGGATCTTCACGGGCATCAACAATCAAGTTATATGAATTATATATCCAAGAATTACAACTCATCATGTTGTAAAAATCGCTAATTTGTGGAGCAGCCTGAGAAATATGACAGACTGATCAGAAAGAACTCTTCTGTAACTTTCACATTCCGCTATGAATGATCCATCAAAACAATGAAATTAATAAGTGGCATGTTATTGTCATTTGAAACCTCTCACTGACATTCAAAATTCAGTTTTCTGAACGGCATGATGAATAACCCACATATCGTAGTTTCAAAAGCTGATAGTCGCTTCATCACATAACTGCAGTCTTTATGCAATTGCCACCATCGGTTCTAAATCACATTCAATCGCACACATATAACTACACACGTTATGAGCCTCTTATTGAAATCTACTGTAAAATATTCATATCCGTTAATATTCCTACAATTCTTAGGAAAAAATGCACATTAAGACGCAAAATCGTGTTCAGACCGAAGGTTACGCTTGTGTAATATGATTTTAGTCAATAATGATAAAAATGATTTGTTCAGGGCGCCGTTCCATAAAGCATTCGTAGCGCTAATCGTAACTCCCATATTTTAACATAGACTTACGACTGTCGTAGCGCTACGTTCGCTTTGAGGAACGGCGCCCTGCCATGTGCCTTGTTCACATAATACTGCACCAAGACGCATCCACGAATGGACGATTGTCCATTGAAGTTCTGTCACATCAAGCCTGGGGACAACTATCCAATGAATGAGCTTTTATAATGATACTTTTTGTCAATTTTCAGTTCAGGGTTCTACCAATCTGAGCCGAAATCCACAATCAGTTACTAAATCATTGAATACAACAAACTGCGTTTATTACGAACACGGTTACAACGAACTAACGCATACAACAAACTGGGCTGTTTCCCTGCAACATGGTGTTTGTTTTAGTCCAAATGCCTATAACGAACTACAGTTACAAACAAGGGCCTGTAACTCTCGCCTCTTCTCGCTACTCCTGGTACTAAGCTGATTCCCGGCTCCCTTTGCGCGCACCACCTGGCGATATTCGAGACGGGGCCCAGCCTACTTCCGGTACCAGAGTTCCGGTGACAAGCGTAAATTCAAGAACCAGTTCTGGTTCCAAATTGCCTTTACTAGACCGGAACAAGTGTACAACCATGCTTGGCTGTCACCGCTGTTGACAGTCGTAATAGCTGACTAATTTGGGGATGGTTAGATCGGAAATTTGTTATTCCTGCAAACGTTTCCTTACTGTCACCGGAACTACGTTGTTTGTCACCGGAACTACTAAAGTCTCGCGAAGTGCCGCGAAGAAGTCCGTAGTTTGCCGTATTCATTTCCTTGGAATTAAAAACTTTTAAAGCAACAATGATTTGAAATACTGACTACTACTACTGCTACTACTACTACTGCCGTACTACTACTACTTACTACTACTGCTACTGCTGCTACTACTACTAACTACTAACTACTACTTGCTACTAAGCTACTACTATTACAGCTACTACTACTACTGCTGCTACTACTACTACTACTACTACTGCTACTACTACTGCTACTACTACTACTACTACTACTGCTACTACTACTACTACTACTACTACTACTACTACCGGACCGCCTCCGTGGTGTAGTGGTTAGAGCGTCCGAGCGGAAGGTCGCGGGTTCGATCCCCGACCGCGTCATACCAAAAGACGTTAAAATATGGTACTTGTTGGTCCCTGCCTGGCGCTCGGCATTAATGGGTACAACAAGGACTGGTCGGCTCGGAGTCAGTATAATGTGTCTGAGTGGGTTATTCATGCTTCACTGCGGCATGGTATCTCAGTGGGCTAGCACTATAAAACCAGCTTTAGTCTGGGCTAGTACAAGCAGCCGCACATACACATACACACGCATGCAAGTCGTCATATGAGCGAAATATTCTCAAGCACGACGTAAATCCCAATTTCACCTCACCTCACCTCACCTCACTACTACTACTACTACTACCACTACCACTTCTACTACCACCACCACTACTACTACTAAAGTCACTAGGAAAAATATGTTTTGCTCAGTTAAATTTCATTTCTGATTCTTTCGATCTTAATTAGGTTGACAGATTCGATTACCAAAACCACAGTTTTCACTCTGCGCAGCGTTTCTAACCCTCAACGCCAATCATTGTGCAACATCTATTACCTTCATCTATCCAACATCAGTAACTCGGGGCGATGGGATAGCCTTGTGGTTCATCATTCGTTCGTCTTGTCGAAGACCCGGGTTCGATTCCCACATGGGTACATTGTATAAAGCCCATTTATGGAGTCCCCCGCCGTGATACTGCTGGAACATTGCTAAAAGCGGCGTAAAAAATAACTCACTCAGTCAGTAACTCGTCCCTGTGCATCATCGCATCGGCCCCCTCATTATTCTTTTCTGTGCAACATCCAAGGATAAACGCAAGGTCGAAATTTCTAACAATACAGACAGTTACAGGTAAAACCAAAAAGGTTTGAAATTAAATCTTTCAAATGGTCTAATAGACTTGAAATATTAAAAAAAAATGTATAATTGAATCAGATCAAGTTCACTTGGAGCATTCTTGTACAAGTCTGTGTGGGCATATTTTACTGCTCTTCATTCGTCTGGGGAAATCGTTCCGTTTCACTCTCTATTTCACCTGAGTGTGTTCCATAAGCACAAACAGAACTACGAATTACTGAAGGTGGTCACAATGAATAGTGTGTTCCTATCATGTGTTATCCAGCAATATAGCATCAGCAAGCATCAGCAAGCATCAGCAAGCATCAGCAAGCACTAGCATTTCGGAATGCATTCACTTAGGGCTTGCTGGTTCAAGGGAAGTAACTCTTGAAGGCTTACAGATTGTGTATAATGCCTGTTTCAAAGCACTTAATGATGAGGATATATTATCCATATCTCCTGAAATATTCATCACTTTTAACAAATTTCGTGAAATTATATTTCGTCATCAAACTCTTTCTATCTGATCTCAGCGTCAGTCACAGGCTGCTTTGACAATGCTAATGATGTATTTTGCTTGAAATCCATTTGGATTTTATTGAGATGTATAACATCTGAAGATATCACACACAGATGTAGAAAATCTGGGATATTTACTTAATTTGTGGTTTGAAATAAATATGAATCGATGTTCCTGCAACCGGTTATCACCACTTTTGTATTCAGTCGAATGACATAAACAAGCTCTGTCTACGAGTGTTCCTTAATAAAACCTTCTCCTTGTGTCCAGGTGCTCGTGCAGTCGAAAACCTCTATCTAGTTGGTAAGTATAACAGCCTTTCACCACTGAAGTGGTGCAACAACTATTTAGATTACCATCAGGTCGTCCATATAACCTCAGGGCCCACCTTGACAAATAGAAAGTCCTTTTATCATAATTTTCTCTGATGTTGTGAACATGTATGTCCAGATGGGATACTTTTATATAATACTTTTAAATACTTTTATTTTCCACTTTTATAAAAACAGGTCCTCTTCATCTTTCCTCATGAACAAAGGGACTCGACCTAAGTAATAAATAAATTTAAATACTTATTCCAAGTGAACACAGTTTTAAATTTCATGAAATAAGGTAATAAGGTTTTAATATTATTAATTTTTATTTACTATTTTTTCGCTCGTGTGCTCCCTTGTTAACTGAGGATTATGAGAAACAGATAAACAAAATACGGTTAGCCTCACACAACATAACGTTTATCCATTGATTGGTTCAGAGGGTGTTTGATCAGGGCAACATACAAGGCTTCAGTAAACCTTTCACACAAAACACATTTTTATCTTTACACACTCTTTTATTTAAAAGTTCTTTCCAAAAAGCGACTCGATCCACCTTTAAAATTAATTCAAGGACTATTACCAAGTGATCTAAATTAAAACGTCCAAATTTAATGAGATGGACAATAAGTGGAGATGAGAAAAGATAAACAAATACAAACAGAACATCGTGGGGATCGGGCTCAGGGAACATAAACATACATAGAGGGTACATCAACCCATGGGCCCCGAGTGACCAGTGAACAACGTATTCATCTTACCGAACATCTCAGTGTTAATTTTGTACTGTTTGAAGTAGGGGTACTGGATCATAATAAGGAGTACCGAAGTTAGGCAACAGTCCAAACACCACTAACACGAACTTCCATACGAATTCCCACAGTTCGGCATTTCCAGCGGGTAACATAGAAAATGTTACTCAGTTGTAAGCGGGGTACATTCGTTGGTTCATCCAATCAGAAAAAGCATTTATGTGTGAAGTAAGACAAAGTATTTTTTATTTTGCTTATATATATTATTTTATTCACTTCAGTTGGATACAAACATCAATTTTCCGAGACTTTAAGTGAGAGCCATCATACATAGAAAGGTACACTTACATATTCAGTTATAGTATGTGCTGGGAAGAGTAGACTAAGTGCAACATCGTGCAATCACGATGAAATTCAAGTACTGCACCATCGTAAGATAAAGTCATACCAGTGACAGCGCTGGTGAAATTATATCCCAATAAATCCATGTTGATGTTTTTCGTGGGGATATAGTTACTGACCTGTTTCAGAATGAATTAGAACTAGCAATGCAGAAAAAGAGATAAAAGGGTTCTACAAAAACATTATTTTGTTCTCAAATAACTTCGTGCATTTGAAAGAGGATATTTTCAACACAACACAATACGATTCTTCAAGCTGTTATTAATTCATCATAACAGATGCGGCGAGCAAGTCATGTAAATATTCAACAATGTGGACTCTAGCATGAGTGGTATATGGGGATATATGATAGCAGAACCCAGTGATGCATGTGCGGGGGTAATGTGAGATGGCGAATAACAAAAACACATTTTCCAGTTATATGTACGTGCATTCTCTTTTGTTGACTGTAAAAGCTTTTTTATGTTCTTTTTTTTTCTTTAAAGGGGTGGTGGGGTAGCCTAGTGGTTAAAACGTTGGCTCGTCACGCCGAAGACACGGGTTCGAATCCCCACATGGGTACAATGTGTGAAGCCCATCTCTGGTGTCCCCCGCCGTAATATTGCTGGAATATTGCTAAAAGCGGCGTAAAACCAAACTCAGTCAGTATTTTTTTAAATATTACCCAAAACATAGCGAGGAGTATTTCGCAGTGATAGCAACGTCAATATGGATACTATCGAAGGATATGACAGAACTATACCCGATTTTTATATGAACCTGTTGAAAGGTTTGTAATAATAATTAGGATATTTATACCGCACAGTACTCCACACCACAATGGGGCATGTTCAAAGCGTGAACAAACAGCACAACATTATTACCCCGGAATACCCAAGCTGCCTGTTAGGCGCTAGAAGTTTATATAGTCATATGGCTAATCCCACCGGGTATCCATTTTCTGCTGGGTGAACAGAGGCAATTTTCAATGCCATCGTATCGCTTTACCATAATGTAAAGTCATGTGTGCGGATAAACGGGTCATGTACTTCGTGCAAGATCAACAACTACTGTGGATGAAGACAAACTTAACCATAAATACACAGTGGTTACGTAGCACAACTGCTCTGTGTATTATGAAAATAAACATTAATTAATACAAGAATTGTCACAGGTTTGACCAAATTAGCTTCGCGAGAAAGATTATATTTCTATGTTGGCTACCACTAATATTAAGCCTGTTCATAATGCTCAGTCTGACGAAGCCATACTTCTTTGTGGTGTACCACAGGGATCGGTTCTCGGTCCTGCATTGTTCTCTTTGTATACCAAAGAACTTGGTGATCTGCTTTGTGAGAAAGCTACTAATCATCATCTTTATGCTGACGATACTCACTTGTTTTATGGTATTACCAGGGGCTGTGACAACAGTCCTGACTTAACCAGAATTGAAGAAGCCATCGACTATATTGGTACGTGGATGTTCGATAACAAACTAAAACTAAATGAACACAAGACAGAGGTTATGATTGTTGGCACAAGATACATGTTAGTAAGATCACAACATGATCAGTTGAAAGTTGGAAATATGGTCATTCAGCCTTCTCCATATGTCAGAAATCTTGGCGTCCTACTCCAATCTGACCTCTCCATGTAGAAACAGATTTCGGGTGTATGCAGAAAATGTTACTTCCATCTCCGTAACATTGGACAGATCAGACATCTCCTGACACAGGATGCTGCGGCTGCACTGGTGAGAACATTGATTCTCTCACGACTTGACTATTGCAAAAGCATGTTGGTTGCAGCTTCACAAGAGTTCACAAACGAATCCAGAACACAGCTGCCCGCATAGTTACTCTCCAACCAAAACACTGCCACATCACTCCGTGATCCCATCCTAATGTCTCTTCACTGGTTGCCTACTGAAGCTCGCATTGACTATAAGATCCTTACACTTGCTTATCAGTCCATTCATGGTATTGCACCTGTGTGCCTTCAAGAACTCCTCTCTCCTTACATGCCAACAAAAACTCTGCGTTCATCCTTGTCTAATCTGCTCTGCGTACCAAAGTGGAACCTCAAATCATTTGGCTACAAGTCTTACCAGAACATGGCATCGGTCAATTAGAATTCCCTCCCTGATGAACTTAAGCTGTCTCCAACACTTGAAAACTTTAACGTCATCTCAAAGCCTTTCTCTACAAAAAGTTCTATGGACTTCAATAATGCCTTATTGATTGTTAGCGCTATGAGCATACCTGGTGTGGAGTTTGGTCTTAATAATAATAATGTGTCCACTTATATAGCGCCAAAGTGATAAAAAGTTATAAAGAACGAATGTCCCTCATGAAAACATTTTGATTTGTTACCAGTGAATCGATCAGCTGCTTCGAAATATACTGAGAGAAACAAATAAAGGAACACAGGAAAATTCAAGCGTTCCTTTAATATTTTCCAGTTTTCATCGCCAGCTCTGAATAGCCCTGTGGGAGGAAACCTGAGAATATATAAAGGAACACTGCCATGAAGTGGTGTTCCCTTATTTGTTTCCCTCAGTATATAACCTACGCAAAAACAGTATATAACATTTGTCTGAAGAACTACATTTCAAAATTAATCTGTCATAGATCTATAAACCCCCTGGAAGCCGTGTTTATTTTCTCACGCACATTTTGATCAGATCTAAAAAGTGAATGCTGCGCGAGAAATTGCTTCGTCCAGCACAGGACGGCTTTCAGGTTACACATGAATATTATAATTTCTAACAGATGGTTTCAACTCAAGAGCCAGTATTATGGCAGTTTCTCGAACAAACACTGCTAAGGCTGTTGAGACTTAGAACATAGTTCAGTTCACCTTTTTTATCATACACCGAAAAATGCACTCTGCGACGGTTGTTTATTTTCTCATATTTACGGAAAGTGTATGGAACAAAATACTGCCTCATACCTGAACGACATGCGTGTATGAAATAGAGAAAATAAATCAGGTTTCCATTAAAATTGTGCATTTCATGATAAAAGCACAAAAGCTGGTCAGCGTTTTCAAGTACATTTCTGAAATAATTTCAGATATGGAGACACATAATAATATTTTTGTCCGTGTGCGCATCTGCAGTAGACAATAAATGCCGTACTGTTTTCAATGTTTCCTCTTACACTGTCAGCATAGCGATTCATTACAAACCAATAATTTTACAATAACTGATTTACAGATACAGGAAAAGAGAAGAAATAGTTAATTAACATTAATTTAATACATCATCCAAATATAATGCTACCTCCATCCAAAATGGCAGGTAGCAGGCAGCTTTTCGAATATGGAGCTCCAGGTCAAATGATGAGTATGTTATGGTTTCATCTGATCAATACTGACTGAAAATGCACGTACTATTTGGCAAAAGAACTCCAGGACAATAGTGCATAAGTTAAAATTTGGATATTTTTAACAACAAAATTCCAGATTTGTCTATATTATTATTTTATTCCAGTAAACATCACTAAACCGGACTTTTATTGTTTAATAGTTATTAAAAAACAATTAAATTATTGCAATTCAGTGACGATATTGCCTAATTCGATTTTACAAATGTCAGATATGATGATTCTAAACGTTTCCTTTAGAAAAAAACAACATTTCAGCATGATTAAATTGTGAGGTTTTTTGCTTCCAGGATGGGTGGTGATAAAACACTAAGTTTATGTACATAAAATATTTTATCAGAAACTGAAAACTTATGGTGACACATTAATCGTCTTCGCTCACAGGCCCAGTGGCAGTTAGAATACACAAAGGCGTGAACGTGGACGTGAACATCAACAATGCTGGAAAGTATGGTCACCATCACTACCCCACAAGTCTGATTGTCGCACAGTTTTTAAACAATGGTTGTTCTGATTGTATGAACCACCATAGGCGACCACCCCAGTATCATGTATAGCCATCCCTAGGACTTAAAACATCTGCCAGTCTCCTCCCCATACTGCCAATCAAGCATCGTATTATTAGGATCTGATTCCTCTGCCATTCCCGATACAGTGTATGCCTCAATTCTTCATTTTGAACAGAAATATCCTTTATACAGCAGGAAAGTGGTACATATGTTCCCTAGAGGATGACACTTCATCACGCATCAACGTCTTGTCAGGAATTGATCTCCAATGTTCATGAAACTGACTCGCCTTTTTCAAGACATTTAACCTGAATATGTCAGTAACTGTTATTTTGGTTAAAATTTCCCTGTAATGCATTGATGGCCATTACAAAGTTAACAGTTAACAGCGAGAAAAGGCAAAATAGCATCTACCCTCTGGCCATATGGAATCCATGCTTGTCGTAAGAGGCGACTAATTGGATCGGGTGGTCATCAACACGGCAAGACATACCCTCTTACAGCGAATACAGCACGTTTCCCTATGTTGAGTGTAACATTCTACTTCAGGCTTGTCATGGTATATATGTGAAAGCTTGTTTGTGTAACTCGAGGGTGTGTGGGAGGCTGATGTCAAATTGTAGACCCATGAAGATCTGGTTAAACAGAATCGGGTGGCCAGGCTCGCTGACTTGGTTGACATATGTCATCGTATGCCAACTGCGTAGATCGATGCTCATGCTGTAGATCACTTGGCTGTCTTGTCCATGGATGATTATTTACAGAAGGGCTTCCAAATAGCAGTGGGAAGCGAGGATATTGCTCCGTTTACAACAAACAAACAAAACCATCTGCGTATGTGTAAAATGAAATTATATTGAGTGCCTCCATTTCAGAAAATGTTCACTATGCTTCAGTCAATAAATATGCAATGCCTTTATAATCAGTATTGTACTATCCCTTTTTGCTGATGCCTGATATCAGCACCATATGATTGTGACCACATGCTTACGATGTAGTTTGATTAATAATGTTTTATTGTTGCTTTTATTTACAGTGAATCCTGGTTTGATTGATTGACTGATTGGTTGGTTGAGTGGTTCGTTGGTTGGTTGATTGAATGATTGATTTTTCAAAGCGGTACCATGCCCTATACCAGAAATTGTGCAATCTTTATGCTTTTATCTTTTCGCCGCTCAACTAAATAAAATCTGTGTTCATCAATGCTTTAAAAACAGGGGTTCAAGCAAATGTTGCAGCAATTTTAACTGAAATCTGGAAAAAGATATCAAAGAAAAGTGTCATCGCCTCATCTGATGTAGCTCCATGTATAAAGATTCCGAGTGAAGACAAACTCTCCACAAGCCTATATATGCCTAGAGTGATGTCTTCAGCATCTTCATGCAGTTGATCACTAGACTGTCTGGTCCAGACTCGATTATTTACAGACTGCCGCCATCTAGCTGGAATATTGCTGAGTGCGGCGTAAAACTAAACTCACTCACTCACTTCAGCGTTGTGAAAGTCAACTTTCCCCAACGTCGAGCAATATTCCTGTAACGTCAGATCTTCTTGTCTACATTTCATATTTTTGAAGTTTACCTAGAAAGTCCAATCTGTGAATTTCGTTTCTCTCACGTGACCGTCACTAAAAACGTTTTATCAGGGTCTGAATATTGTTTGGTGGGTTAACAATATTGATTTGCCGTTGCAGGTGTTTGTGACGAGTACCATCAGTGGAGTATTGTACCGTCCCCTTTTAGGCTGATACCTGATATCAGCACCATATGATTGTGACCACGTGCATATGGTGTAGGTTTATTAATAATGTTTTATTGTTGCTTTTATTTACGGTGTACCCTAGTTATAATGCCATCCTGGATATAATGCCATGTTTTTGCCAAAACGGATTTCAGGCCTATATAATACCTTGGTTATAATTCCAAACTGGATATAATGCCATATGCCAATGGTTTTTGGAACAAACGTCATTTTCCCCTGGTAATAATGCCAATTACATGGCTGCATGTAGTATACATACCTTAACTAGTTGATTGACAAAACTCAAATTAATTAACCAAACTCATTTATGCTTTAAGTAGTCTTGTAATCCCAGAAGGGATAACACATGTGACAATACACTTCCTGCTACCTACAACAAGTCACCTGCAGCCCCTAGACGTTGGGATTATCCAGTCTTTTAAGGCTCATTACAGGAAGCATCACCTCAATCACCTTGTTGATTGCATAGAGCCGCTAACTGTCCTACCTGGTAATAATGCCACCCTGGATATAATGCCATATTTTCTCCTGGACAAACGGTGACATTATAACCAGGGAATACTGTTGGGTTGTTGTTTTCAAACCGATGTGCTGTAAACATACTCTGTACCAGAAGACATGGGTGTACAGTTTTCTACCATCTGTAATTTGACTAAAAAATTGCTCTTATTCAAACATACTCAAGTAAGTTAAAGTGATGGATAAGGCTCCCACGATGTTTTCCAGCCGTTTTCCGCTTCCACACCATGAACAATTAGTAACATCACTTAATTCATCAGACATTTAATTCCACCTTGTAACCAAAACACACACAATGGAACAATGCTTAATATAGCAAGAGTGATATAGGGGAATAGGTTACGATGTCTTATTTCCAGAAGAATGAAAATTAACAAACCATACACAAATGGACATCGGATCCGCGTCTTGACGTGTATAAAAGTGGGGAGTATTTCCATCAAACAGCATTCAACCTCTACAAGACACGTATCGTTACAGACATCCGAGGCTGACACATGGCGTTACTGGAAGTGTCTTCTGTTTGGTGCGGCTCTGTGTCTCGGTGCTCGGTGTGAAAACACAGAAAATGAAGAGCAACTCTTCTTTGTGACCATCGTGCCATCATCATTTGTCCAGAACCAGAGGGCCGTGATGACGGCAGTAAACGATGTGCTGTATAGTGTGAAGGACATCACAGTAAAACAAGCTTTCAAGGTAAGTATGATTTAACGTTCACTTTTGTAAAAACTTGCCAAGTTTTTGTCGCGTATAAATACATGGTGTGTCAACGGTTTTTGGTGCACTCCTCATTGTGTTTCAACCAGATAAACATTTATATCAAGTAGACATATTTCCTATGACGTTCCCTTTGGCCCTGGTTTATCCACTAATTCACATTACCGGCGAGGTGGGGTAGTCCAATGGTTAAAGCGTTCGCTCGTCACGCCATTCCAGACATGGGTACAATGTGTCAAACCCATTTCTTGTGACCACTGCCGTGATTGTACTCGAATATTGCTAAAAGCGGCGTAAAACACAACTCTCTACCTATGCCCATGTGGAGAAGAACGCACCATCGACCCCTCTGCTCTGACTAACCTCAAATATATCATCATCTGCAAAATCCATCATATGAGGTGTACATGTATATCCCATATATACATGTACTTTATAAGTACGTTCCTGAACATGGGAGGTCATGTTGTCTAAAGCATCTCAATTCATTTATGCATGGTTGTGGTCCTTAGGGATTCATAATTTATGGCTAGGGGGATGATGATGGTCCTTTTGTTCTGGCGAGCTGGGGTGGGGGTATCAATTTTCTACATAAAAATATGTTTAAACTTATGCTTAGAAATTATGGGTAGGGGAGGGTCATTGATTTTGTACAAGTCATGCAGGGGGGGGGCACTTATTTTGTACATAAATTTTAGGGGAGGTCATTCATATTGTACATGCTTCTCCATAAAAATCATCATCACCTCCCTAGCCATAAATTATGAACGGTCCCTTAGGCGTGTCAGGATTTGGTGATCGTAGATTCGAATCCTATATTAGTTCTGATTATGTCAGTGCGATACCAATTCCGGTTTGTTTGACTATGTGAGTGTAATATTATTCAAATATATTTCCACCCCAGCTTGTGTTAATTTTACAAACACCGTTGTGTCGAACATTGATGTGTCGAACGTCCGGTTGTCCCGAACAGAAAGCTGGTCCCAGCGTATTTCTTGTTGATTTTGTACATGACGTACAGGTCCCTTCTTCATGGACACAACGGTGTCTTGGTTGTTTCAAATTATGCAAAATGTTTACGTTCTGGTCTCATTATCCATGCTGGTTAACAGTATTAGTTATATTGTGGGGCGGTGGGGTAGCCTAGTGGTTAAAGCGTTGGCTCGTCACGCCAAAGACCGGGTTCGAATCCCCACATGGGTACAATGTGTGAAGCCCATTTCTGGTGTCCCCCGCCGTGATGTTGCTGGAATATTGCTAAAAGCGGCGTAAAACCAAACTCAGTCAGTCAGTCAGTTATATTGTGTAGGAATGAATATATGTTCAACATTATAAAACACATCTCAAAGCATCACTCAATCATTTTCAGATCGTTGGCAAGCCAAGAGTCGTCGCTAGTAAGTAACAAAGTTTCCGGATTTCATTACGCACTGAAACAACACAATAGATTATTGCAGTTTGATCTATTATCTGTGTGATACATCATCATTGATCAATTAGACATCGCAACTCAATATAGAGTTGTCCCCCTTTAGTAGCCGGGGCTGTGGGATAGCCTTGTGGTTAAAGCGTTCGTTCATCACACTGAAGACCCGAGTTTGATTCCTCACGTGGGTACCATGTGAGAAGCCCATTATTGGAATTGGATTCCCCGCCGTTATATTGCACGGATAGTGCTAGATGCGGCGTAAAATCTTAACTCGCTAAGACCCCCTCAGGAGCAATGGTCTTGGTGTTTCAAAAATACTTGAAAAGTGTGGACATGCGTGGTGATTGTACATGCAGGTAAATAACCTAATTAATTTTCATCCTAAAATCAGAAGACCAACCATGACTTAACCCACTACCATCTATACTTGTCAAAAAAGTAGGGGAACCTAAACTTTTAATTTGGAAGTCTAAGCGTTAACAAACTTTTCAAAAGAAAGACGCACCACCATTTCTCTTTATCGCCACCCCTAACCACAAACGCATGGGATGCACGTGTACAGCTCAGTAGCCCCATACCCGTGCATGGGGTGTCATTCGTTAGGATGAGAAAGCCACAATAACTCGGTGCGCCTAGTGGCTGCCAGAGTTGTATACTCCCCAGGGAGTTGAGATTGATAATACGATGTGCCATTGAGATTGACATCCAATGATCTAGGGAAAATATATCAGCGCCTTGAGCAAGCACTAGTTGCCTGGATATGTGCGCTATATAAATATCCTATAATAATAATAATAATAATATTTTTGCTGTGCCAGTCCTTTCCTATTCCTTTGGAGTAGTTGATTGGACAAAACAAGTCATCCAGAGTCTTGACCGACTGACCAGAAGGATCATGTCTGATAACAGAGCCCACCACCCTCGTTCCTCTCTTAACCGTTCATACATGCCAATCAATTCTGGTGGTCGGGGTTTGATTAATGTGGAGGCTCTTCATGATAGAATTTTATTGTGTACTTTTGCACATATTTATTTATCGGATGATCCTCTGGTGATGCATGTGAAGACTCATGATGAAAGCAAGGAATTCCACAGCTATTTTAAGCGTGCCTTGGTTGTTGGACAGAATCTGAGATTTGAGGTTGATTTTGTTGATGGCGATGTACTGCTGGACGGTACAGCGATGGGAGTAAACCAGGTGAAGTCCTTCACCAAGTCTGCCCAGAGTCGGTCTTTTGTGGAGAAGCTTTCTGAGAAACCATTGCTTCGTGTGTACATGCAGTGTATGGAACAAAATAGCAATCCCACCGACTCCTTCGCCTTGATGAAGTCGGCTGGTCTTAAATGTGAAACTGAGGGCTTCCTTTTTGCTGCTCAGGACCAGTCACTTCCCATTCGTAATCGCCTAAATGTGATTCTTAAAGAGAATATTAACATGAAATGTCGACTTTGCAATGAATTCACAGAGACTGTTCAACACCTTGTCAGTGGATGCCCTTCCTTGGCACAAACAGCGTATCTTAAACGACATGATGGCATGGCTCGTTGCTTTTACTACTGTCTCCGACATGCCTGTGGCTTTGACTCCAAGGTCCATCCATGGTACGACCCTGAACATGTCCAGGGCGTCATGGAAAATAATGCTTTCAAACTTCTGTGGAATAGGCCCATATACAGCCTGAGGAGAATTCCAGCCAACAAACCTGATCTTGTCCTTTTTGACAAAGCCAATGAATTTATATATATCATTGAGTTTTCTGTCCCTTTTGACACCAATGTGATTGGCAAGATTCAGGAAAAGCATACTAAGTATGCGGACCTCGCCTTTGAAATGTCTCGCTTGCATCCCAAGTACACTGTCGCCAGGCTCCCCATTGTTCTCGGTGCCCTTGGTTTGGTACCTCCTAATCTCTTGGCGCAGATCAGGAGAGTGCCCGGGTTCTCCACCGGGAGTACAGCCCTTCTGACACTCTGGGTAATGCAGAAGGCTGCAGTGTTGGGGAGCCTTCATATTCTCCGGAAAGTTCTTGGTGGGTTCGACTAGGCAGCATTTCCTGGGAGAAGTCCCATTCGCTGTCTGGGCTGCGTGTAGAGGGGGCAAGGGCCCTGAGCTGATGATGAGCCTTACCAGCCTGACTGTGCCAGGATCACCCGAACCCTCTCTGCTGCATACTATCTTTAATCTGTAAAACATAATAATAATAATAATAATTCTTGATTTTGACGGTTTTCAAGAATCACTGTAATTTTGAAAATCATCTTGCACCACACAGTTGTTAGTGTTTGTTTCTTGTGGGTTTGTCTTTTGCTTTGAAAATGAAAATCGTACACATGCAAATTTCACGTCATACAAACAACTATGGTCATAAGGAAGTTCAAGTGGTGATGCACTCTCAAAACATTCATTATTATCATATCAATATTGATTGACTCCGATATATATCCCAACTGTTTCAATCGAAAGTCAAAAATGAATTTCACCTACTTTTTTTTAAGAGTATACATGGTAAGTATGTATTATAATTCTTTATTTGTTATGACTCAGGTTCGTATGTTTTGATAATTTAAACACGTTGTCTGATTTGGTCTTTCTTGGTGAACATAATCACTGTATATGTTTGTAGTTCTTGTCATAGGTTGTTTTCAACAAACTGACAAGTAGATTTATGGAAAATAGTATAAAGTCATATCCTGATCCTATTCCGTATGAAAATTGGTTCACATGCGGAACTGGTTCGTTGACAGATGTGTCAGCTTCTAATGTTATTTTCATTAGTTCTCAAGTTTCGAGCCCTGTGCGACTGGCGTCCTTTAGAAGAGGCCCTGGCTGCTGCAGGACTCAGCATCGATGTGAAATCGCTGTACGGAGAACTGGATCTCGAAAATGATTTGAAAGTAGACAAGGAACTCCTTGCAAATGCTCAGCCACCATCCAACATAAGTGGGGAATTCATCTACCTCTTGGACGTCACCCTCTTAATGAGTGGTAAGTTGTAGTCTGTGTTAGGTTACTGATGATACACAAATGTTTTGCATAATTTGTTGACTGAATATTCTGTTTTAATTTTATTCAAAATGTTTTTGCATGTTTGATGTTTGAGTTGCATGTTTGATAAGCAGAAACAGATATTGTCAACACAGAAATAAGAAAAACAAATTGAAGTTACCTACAGCGAAACAAATGCCAGAATCTGTTGTTAAGGCAGAAAACATCGGAATGCTGTAAAATATATATCCCCAGATGCTGTCAATATTTTAACAGAAATCATAAAAAACATACATTAGAGAATGCCATTGTGGCATTTCTTCTTTTTCTGTTCAACATACTCTTCAATAGCGGCAACTTACCAAAATCATCGAGAAAAGCGATTATTATTCCTTTACATACAAAGAGGAACGTACAACATGCAGTCAATTAGAGCGGTATTTCATTAATAAGTAACTTAAGTAAATTTTATGTCAGTACATTGAATGAAAGATAAACACATTGAATGAATACAATATCAGATCAAATCGAGCAGTCTTTAGGAAGGGATATTCCTGTTTTGATCAGATTTTGAAGTTATATGCTGTAATTGAAAAATGTATATTTAACACGAGAAAGCTTTTCTTTTGACTTAGAAAAGCCTTTGATTTTGCTTGCAAAATAATATTGTGGCATCGATTATCACGTTATGTCATCAGTGGGAAAATTAAACAGACATTAAGAGGCATTGATTCTTCAGTCAAATTGTGCGTCCGGTGTGATTCATATTTAACAGACAATATTGGTTTAATGCCAGGGTTATGTTAGGTACAACATTGTATTCAGCACTGTTCATGAAACGATCTTTCTAAAGAAATCACAGAAAATGGAATCCAATTGTTCACAGACATAATAGAAAGTCTTATGTAATATTAGTTTCAGATTCTCAAAGTAGTCTCCCAAAATCAGCTAGACATTTAGTCTCCTATTTAGAAAAGAAGGTTTAACAGTAGCAAGCAACAGTAGTACAAGCCTCTGTAGTTGTATATGAAAGGGAAGTAATTTGCAAAAAAGGATAGAAGCGTTTTTAAGGTGATTATTTCAAAGAAGTTGAATTACAAGTACATGTATTTAGGATTTTTATTCACATGCAATTTCAGTATGGGAAAGGCACTTTTCAATCACTCTTTGCGTGGAAAAAAAGCTTTCAAATATTTGACAGCAAATATCTCTTTCTTTGCTTCGGAAGTATGATGAATTAAAAATATGACAATGTCGATAAAATAGTTTTCTTACCTTTTATATTATTTATAAACGTCGGCCCCAGACGTTCAATACAATAGCGTGTGATGATTGTGGTCGTTTCCAGATTTCCACCAGTCCAGCTGTTCGTTGTTTACATTATTGGATAAAAGCGTGCCAATGCATTAAGATCGCTTATCCAGAGACGCTTATGGTATCTTGTTATGTAAGAGTGATATTGGATATGTAACATGGACTTCGAAAATCAGATAATTACGTTTTTCTCATAGATTCGGTTTTGCCAGACCTCAGAAACTGTTGGAAACCGTGTATGTTTTATAAATACTTTTAGAAGCCGCTTAGTCGATATTTTATATAGGAATGGATCGAGATCAACTCTTGAAAGTAAAGTACTTTAGTTCACGTTATGGCTTATATAGAGAGTTCAAAAGTCTTCTTACACCTGAAAAAATATATCTTTGAAATAGTTGATTTTAAATAGCGCAAGTGCCTCGTTAAATTAAGGTTTGAAAAACAATGAAGGGAGATAAGATTGGTCATATTATTAGAATTTGTCCAACGTGTAAATATCCTCCTGAGGACGAGTATCATTCACATTAATTGTCCATTTTATGATGAAATTAGAAGGTAATATATACCTGAAAACTTAACTGCAAATATGTTTATGTTTAAGAAACCTATTTTAACAAATAGTACACATAGTTTGAAAATGCCGAGTCTTTGTTTTCCCAAGCTTGTGAGAAAAGTTGCAGTTTACCAACTGAACATTGTTTGTGTTAGTTCACATGTAAACCTACATCGTAGTCAACCCTCTGCTATGTTAATATTGTACAAAGTATGTAAATTTATGTATAATGATGACTTGCTTGATAATTTACAAGAATTGCAATACAAGACTTCAAGTGTGTTAGATTTTGACTTGACGCTTTGCTTCAGGACAGACCGGTGCTTCCTACAAAGAGGAACTTCGTAGCTGCTTGGAGCTCAGTTTAAAATATCGTGCTAATGCTCACAAAAAGTTTCTAAATTACAACGTTCTCGGAGAATTCCCAATCCAGGTATGGATAATATAATTCAAATCCTCTTTTACGGGTATTCACCATCGCTGCATTGGGCGGACTTTAGAACTGCATCCAGAAGATATACATAGAGAAAAAGGTTAAGCACCCCAGTGTCTTGGGGGCATTTTAATGTGGGGGTGCTTAACTTTTTTCTCTATGCATATATTATCTGGCGATGAACTGACCCCATGCATTATCTGTTTATTTTTTTCCTTATTGGATTGATTAAATTAATTCAAATGACAGGTCCATTTATTTTTGAATTTAATTAGAGAATGTTAAATGCAAACACTCTTAGGTTTTGTAGAAAATATCTGCATCTAATGTATCGTTATATTACCATTTGTCATTTATTACTTTGATAGAAACGCTATGAATGGGACAGTTAAGACTGTATAAGAGAAGTATGCGTTCGCTCGTCAGGCCGAAGACCCTGGTTCGATTCCCCACATGGGTATAATATGTGAAGCCCATTTCTGCTGTCCATTTGTGGTGATATTGCGGAAATATTGTTAACAGCTGCCCCAAACTAAATTCACTCAGTCAAAGGGAAATATTTTCTAGTTACATTATGTGATAATCTCTGGCATGTTTCTACAGAATAGTCAAAACGAATATAGCTTCCAAATCACCATTGCTAATATTTCACAAAACTAATGGTGAGGCCAAAAGGCAATTTGAAAAAGTTATGACATATTTCTCTGAAGCATTGCTTGAAGGTGCTATCTGAACCTTTTTTGAGTAATTGAGGACTGGCTATTCTTGTTGCAGATGCTGTTCTTTGACGTAGCTGACCCGAAAGTTGCCGAGTCGCTGCTCTGGCCGTTCAACGAGGGTCCCCTCGCGATGACCGTTTCCATGACACGCGTTGAAAATTTCGCTGATTATCTGAACAACAACTATTGTAATTAACATCCAATAACGTCTTGTCTGTCTGAATAAAGTCACCAGAAGGCATCAGTCTCTTGGCCTTGTATGTGAACCATTGTAATGCAGATGCGTGGAGTTCGTGTTAGAACTGGTCTCCGGAAAATCTCTGTGGTCGTAAGATGCGATTAGATGGGTCGGTAATCATTTGATCCGCATTCTAGAACTTGCAGAGCAGATAACCAAGTATTAAACTTTAGGGATAACAAAACTTGAGGGATTTCCAAAGCAGCATAAAACTTTAGGGATAACAAACGAAATATAAAACTTTAGGGATAACAAACGAAATATAAAACTTTAGGGATAACAAACGAAGTATAAAAAGTTAGGGATAACAAACGAAGTATACAACTTTAGGTATACGAAGTATAAAACTTCAGGGATAACAAACGAAGTATAAAACTTCAGGGATAACAAACGAAGTGTAAAACTTCAGGATAACAAACGAAGTATAAAACTTTAGGGATAACAAACGAAGTATAAAACTTCAGGGATAACAAACGAAGTATAAAACTTTAGGGATAACAAACGAAGTATAAAACTTCAGGGATAACAAACGAAGTATAAAACTTTAGGGATAACAAACGAAGTATAAAACTTTAGGGATAACTTTAATAACAAACGAAGTATAAAACTTTAGGGATAACAAACGAAGTATAAAACTTTAGGGATAACAAACGAAGTATAAAACTTTAACTTCAGGGATAACAAACGGTATAAAACTTTAGGGATACGAAGTATAAAACTTCAGGGATAACAAACGAAGTATAAAACTTTTAGGTAACGAATAAAACTTTAGGTACGAAATAGGCTAACAAACGTGAAGTATAAAACTTTAGGGATAACAAACGAAGTATAAAACTTCAGGGATAACAAACGAAGTATAAAACTTTAGGGATAACAAACGAAGTATAAAACTTCAGGGATAACAAACGAAGTATAAAACTTCAGGGATAACAAACGAAGTATAAAACTTTAGGGATAACAAACGAAGTATAAAACTTTAGGGATAACAAACGAAGTATAAAACTTCAGGGATAACAAACGAAGTATAAAACTTCAGGGATATAAAACTTCAGGGATAACGAACGAAGTATAAAACTTCAGGGATAACAAACGAAGTTTCAGGGATAACAAACGAAGTATAAAACTTCAGGGATAACAAACGAAGTATAAAACTTTAGGGATAACAAACGAAGTAAAAACTTCAGGGATAACAAACGAAGTATAAAACTTCAGGGATAACAAACGAAGTATAAAACTTTAGGTAACACGAAGTATATAAAAAACGAAGTATAAAACTTCAGGGATAACAAACGAAGTATAAAACTTCAGATAGTATAAAACTTCAGGGATAACAAAAAACGAAGTATAAAACTTTAGGGATAACAAACGAAGTATATAAAACTTCAGGGATAATAACAAACGAAGTATAAAACTTTAGGGATAACAAACGAAGTATATAAACTTCAGGGATAACAAACGAAGTATAAAACTTCAGGGATAACAAACGAAGTATAAAACTTTAGGGATAACAAACGAAGTATAAAACTTTAGGGATAACAAACGAGGGTATAAAACTTTAGGGATACAAACGGTATAAAAACTTCAGGGATAACAAACGAAGTATAAAACTTTAGGATAACAAACGAAGTATAAAACTTTAGGGATAGGGATAACAGGGATAACGAAGAAGTATAAAACTTTAGGGATAACAAACGAAGTATAAAACTTCAGGGATAACAAACGAAGTATAAAACTGTAGGGATAACAAACGAAATATAACACTTTAGGGATAACAGAGCGAAGGTCACTCTACACAGCGACTTTTCGATGTTAGACTCCACATCGAAGGTCACTCTACACAGTGGACCAGAAACTACATCGACTGTCGATTTATGCAGCAAACAATACTCTTTCTCGAAACGTCGCTCTATGCAATAAACAAGAAGTATTTATCAATAAATTTGTATACATGTATTTCCTCATTCACTTCGTTAAATGGACCCGTGAAGATACGGGGTAGAATTGGTCTTCAGTACACCATGCTTGTCCCGAGGCGACTAACGGGCCATGATCGGGTGGTCAGTCTCTCTGACTTGGTTGAAACATGTCATCGTATCCCAGTTGCATAAATCGATGCTCATGCTGTTGATCTTTGGATGGTCTAATCCAAAAACGTTGATTTACAGACCGCCGCCATATAGCTGGAATATTGCTGAGTGCGGCATAAACTACACTCACTCACTCGTTAAATGGATTGGGTGGTCTGGCTCGCTGACTTGGTCGATAGCGTGTCATCGTACCTTGAAGTTGTGGATTGCTGCTCACACCATCGATCACTGGATTGTGTGGTAGAGAAGCCTATATAGGGTGCAAAGGTAATAACGTTCAACAACAAAAAGCTGTCTCACATTCGTGGCTCATGTAATGGAAAAATAGACCTGTCTTCTTCAATATTGTTTGCGATAATAGTTTAGAAAACTACATGTATGTACTGAAATAGCTTACAACGTCGTATGATTGCACGTATAAGTATTTAACTAATTATTAATAAGTATTAAGCTAACTATCCTATCATTTTAACGTTTGACAGGTTCACCGCAAAGTTATACAAAACTGGACGGTTTGGTCTTGACCTAAGGTATTGGTAATTGATTGAAGCGTTGGTAAAATGATTATTATTTGACTTTGTTAACGCGATAGCTGGACCTGGTTGGTTTATGCCAGGATTTAAACATTGAATGAGTGGGTGAGTGAGTTTACTTTTACACCGTGTTTAGCAATATTCCAGCAATATCACGGCGGGGGACACCAGAAATGGGCTTCACACCTTGTACCCATGTGGGGAATCGAACCCGGGTCGGAGTGACGAGTGAACGCTTTAACCACTAGGCTACCCCACCGCCCCCAGTGAATGAGTGGGTGAATTATGTTTTCAAGCAATAGGAGTTTAAATGTTCTTCTTTATCTTAGCGAGGGCAAAACCTGAATTCTTAATACGAATTTCAAATCAGTTTGACACGAATGAGAGTGCAAAAAGATCCATATTACCTAGGATTTCTTAATTGCTTCGAGGTCCCCTTCAGAAAGATGCAGCCGTCGTCTCAGAAAACCTCATCTCTCAAATTATCTTAACAATCTTCATCTATGACTGTGATCCGTTTAAATAGTGCTGAGACCTCGGTAGTGACAAAATATACCTACACTAAACGCCAAAAGAAACGTTACCCTCCTACCTTTATGAATTACTTAAAAACTATCAAAGATATGTTAGAAGGTATTTGTGTACAAGAAAGCTTAACAACACAGCTTTATGCAAATCACGAAAAATAATTCTCAAATGCATTCATATTTAGGTGAAATGCATCTTTTCAGAAGAATTAAATTGTCCTATTTTCGACCATGCCGAAATAAACCAGTAACAGTGATTTAGATGTCCAAAAGAGGGGTTGAAATAAAAATTTGCTTTGAGACAAAGATAAACCATTCAGTATCCCCATTTTTCAACTATTAAAACAAGAAACAACTGTTGTAGGATGTGCTAAAATTGTAAAATAATCATTCCTATCATATCAGTCTTTTAAAACATTTTCTGCTTATTGCATTAGTGAAAACAAGTACAATGTGGCTTTGATATTGTGAAAAAGTGTTTAGGAACACCTAAAATTATCTTTGTTAACACTTTTGCTTGCAAAGTAACATTTTTCCATTTTCTGTTTACACATAGCAATATAAATCGGCAAAACGTAGCAATATTCAAGCGGTATTTGCATCAATGTCACGTGTAGAATGATTCTATAGGGTATAAAGAAAGCCTATAATGCATGATATTATACACAAGTACGAGAAATATGCCACAATTAACAGCTGAAGAGAGAGAAAGAGCCATTGGAATGGTGCAGATAGGTCGACATACAATGCTGTTGCCAACGCCCCCGGATGCCACCGTATCACGGTTATAAGACTTATTCAGCGTTACAGACACTGGGGTCACCGTAGACAGACCAAGAAGTGAACGTCCACGCATCACAATGCAGCAGACAGTTTCATCATCACTGGAGTAGATTTTAAGAAATTTATTAAGGAAGGAGGGTAACGTTGCTTTTGGCGTTTAGTGTAGGTGCTAGAAGCCCCGGTGGTTTTCAGTAATAGCACGTGTTAGTTAGATATGGACAGGAAGACCAACGCCTTCTTTGCCACTTTTGTGAGTTAGTGAGTGAATTTCGTTTTACGCCGCACTATAGCAATAAACCAGCTATATGGCAGCTGTCTGTAATTAATCGAGTCTGGCCCAGACAATCCGGTGATCAATAGCATGAGCATCGACCTACGCACGGATATCGTGCTGACAAACCGACAGGTATCATTAAGGCGAGCTGAGATTCGAACCCGTGATTACATTTCGACATCCGACTTCGCACACTGTGGGGAATCGATCCCGACCTTCGGCGCGGCGAGCCAAAGCTTTAACTACTCGTCTACCTTACCCACGAATGTAACCAAAAAAGGCGCTAATTCTAATTGAGCATGCCGAGTCGAAGTTAAAATACGTGTAATTCACCTTTATAAAGTAATTGGAGCAGGTTCATGGTGAAGATAAAAGACGCTATGTGTATTTAAAGTAAATATTACGTGTGCGCTCATGTAGCGTGAATCCTAACGGTTTTATGGTATTCCGTTTTAGTAAACAGTGTCTCTTAATGCGAAATACGGAGCAATCAATCCAAGCCTTCATTGTAATTGTGAAAGGACGTGGTAAATGTTCAGTAAAGCAAACATCTGACTAGCGGAAATTAGTCCGCAATTGTACAGCCAGTATCTCCTGTCACGTACGTACAGTCTGAATAGCGGTACAGTGAGCACAGTAACCGACAGATGTCACTGTCTAAAGAGATGCTACGACCGCGAAGCTTTTCGCTACCATGGCTCCCTACACGGTACATGGAAGTTGTAGGGGTCCGTTGGTCAGGATCTGACTGATATGTTCTCACTTGGTTTTGATGAGCTCCTCGACGACGTTTGTGATGAGAGGGTCACGCTCATCTTCGGATTTCGTCAGGTAAATACTGTTAGCCTCTGAATGTAGTTTTAGGTACCGAATGAACTATTGGAGACAGCTCTGCATGACTATGTGAATGAGTACATTTGGTTGTTTGTAGACAATTACTATTTACATTTCATGTATGGAACCACCAAATCATTTCTAATTTCTATCTTAAACAACCATCAACCACAAATGCAGTTTTCATGGGAGGTGTACCTATAATGTGGCTACTTACACCCTTTGGATAGACATTATTTTGGAATCTATTTTCTGTGTATTTTGGATTCAATGGCTGGTATACGCTGGACGCATATAAATACGTTTTCGTACGCGGACGTAACATTATGAAATAAAAATGTTTATTAGATACCCATGTAAACTTAGGATAGTAACACAGGGGTGCAATACGGATGACGTGGTCAAATTCCGTATTGCGCCCCAGATTCCGTATTGAACCTCTGCCTGCCGCTAGGATTTGTTATATTAAGTAACAGATTAATGCAAAATAGGAGCGTACATAATAATATAGAACGTCATACTAGTGCATTTGGATGTTTTGTACTGAACTCGAAGATGTCATGGGAGCAGAGAAACAACTCATTATTCGAACTCGTTGTTTCTCTTTTCCAATGACATCTCGTTCAAAACAAAACATCCAAATGCACTAGTATGACGTTCTATATATGTACGCTATATACTTCTCTTTATACATTTTATTTTTCGATTATTTGTAATGTAACTTCAAACAGCACCCTCTCCTCAGTTAGGAAGGACATTTATGTGAAATTGCTTTCGGGATTCGGGGTCAAGGATTAGACTTTCTCTGTACAAGATTACATCATTTGGTTCAGGTTGACCTGTATTTTAGTAATTACTTAAGTCGTCTTCAGGCAATAAACTTTCCATATCACGGTAGTCGACGCAAAATATTGGGAATCGAACCCGGGTCTTCGGCGAGACCAGCGAACACTTATACAAGGCTACCTCGACGCCTCTTGCAGGGTAAATCGAGATAAACCAAGACCGCCTGTTCACAGACCGTATTGCCAAGCGGCTTAATAAACCAGAGCTTGGTCCTGACCACCAAGCGTCTTATAGTACGTTTTGTCAAGAGCGTCTATATATAAAGGCTAGAGCATGGCAGAAAATAACACCTAAATAACGGCGAGTTTTCTGAGCGTTTAACCAAGAGGATTCCTTCATAAAACGTTGGGCAAAGTGCGTCCATAAATAGCGTTAGACAGCCAGTATTCTCTATAGAAAATTATTAGCGAAGAGTATCTATTTCTGTCCACGCGACGGTGAATCTCGTGCAGCTATTCAAGGTGCCCATTCAACAAACAGCTGTCACGGTTGCATACATAAATATTTACCCATTTATCAAACCTTGCGTGCGCGGGTGGGCCTCGTTATTCCATAATGTCAAATTCTGTGTAAAGAAAACTGGGTTAAGTATTATTGCGTGAATATCATACATGTTTGAATTGATCGTTGATGAGTCCTCATAGAAGTCATTGATACGAATGCACGTCAGGCTCAGGTATATACATATACACAAACATGGGAACTAATTAATGAAGTGGTAATTGGCTGGTCTTATCTATGTTGGAGAGAGGCAGATGCGTTTTCCAGAATACATTTGGGTTGGTCAAAGGAAACAACGAATTGATTCAATTTCAAAGTCTTAACACTTCATGAATAATTTTGTAAGCTCTACAACCACGTATTTACTCAATTAGAGAAACATGCAACGTGTATCTTAGGTCTTGCTAACCTTGGATTTATGATAAGTTGATTAACTATTTGAAAGACAAACCGTTCGTAAACAAATGGGAGATAAATAATAGTTGTATCATTTCTATAAGTGCAGATCTAACATTGAAGTAAAGCGGGCACTTGCTGTCACCGAATCTCGCATACCGCAACGAGAGTTTGCGAGATCTCGTTTAGCCGAGCAACATGGAGGCCAGTTGTGTTGTCAAGAGAAGCTTTCTCCATGCACCACTAACTCACAATGTTTCTCGTGTGTAAAACGACATTAAATGGCTAAAAACACCTAAAACTGGATCTAAAAAGAACGAAACGGAAGGAAATGCTTACAATTACAAGGTGACATTTTGAAAAATCAGAATGGACGCGACAACAACGTCGCTGGCCGAAGATTTGCAAGAACTGCAATTGGATGGCCGACCGATCACCAAGGCGCTAAAGGTGCGTGTTATCATAGAAGAAGAAACGTGTGAGTTGTTTTTAGGAGTAATGTAAAAATAACGCAATAACGCATAATTATCATTGATGTTGATATTCTGTATTTCAGAGCTCCGAGGAGCTTGAGAAACTCACTGTCGACCCCCATTTGAATGACATTGAAAGAGCGGTATACCTGCTCAGGTAGGTTCCCTGGATATTAATACACATATAATTTTGATATGATTTTGAGATTTTCAAGACTGTAAAATAAGATACGCATTCATTCATATCATTGTTAGAGATGTACAACTCCTATAGTAAATGGCCTACATTCCTACCAATGAAATACAGTTTACACAAAGGATATATGACACTCAGTGGACACCATATGTTGTTTAACCCTATCTCATTATCAAGGAAGCTGAAATAATAGCTGTCTGATATACAAGAAATACACCACAGATTAAATTAAATGTATGATTATTATTGTTTTTATGTATTAACAATTAATTACATATCAATTATATCACATCAGCGACATTAGTACATATCTTGTTTAATTGCCCATGAAGTATCCCTACTCAAATGTATATTTTGTTTACTATAGTCCAATTGTTTTAATAATGTGTAACAAACATGAATGTATCATTTGTATATTTTGACACTGGTTTCCAGTATTATCATGATAATTTCCTGTTTATTGTTTATTAATGACTACTTCTTATATTTTGTTATAAAAGACCTTGATACTGATCACCTGGATCTGATTAGTCATATTACAGTGGTCAAACCTAATGGCAGTTCCTGATGTCCTTGAGGTACTATCCAGTGGTATATATATGTATGTCTAGGGACTCATGTCAAGTGTTTCAGCTGGACAATAGTGTTATGAGAAGTGCCCATTGATTATTTCAATGAGCTTCGTACACTGATGCCATGTTGCATATGTTTATTGAGAGTTTAAGTATTTCATGTTTCTTCACTCTGGTCTACATTTGTTTTTGTCAGCTGTGTATGAACTGCTTCCTGCCATCTGCAGAAATTCTGTTGCTTGATTACAGTATTGAAGATGAGCAAATGGTAACAATGACACAAGGTATAGCAGACAGTTGATTAAAGGACTGTTTGCATACTATAAGTTATCACATCGTGTCGTGGGAAATACGAGGGACTGATAAAACCCCGTATTTCCCTCGACACGATGTGATAACGCATTTATCTAGCCGAATGTTTTACTAAATCAAAAGAAAACAATACGCATCGAATCAATTTCATTCTCAGTTGTTGTGGCAAAACGTTTCCTTGCTGCCATGTTGACAACAGCTGATCGATTGACCTCAATGCAGCGCACGTTACTAAAGGCTTGGTGCACGCTTTTCTCACTTCGCATGGTCACCGAGGCGTGGCGGGGTAATAAACTTTGTACTCCCTGCTCGCGGATCGTGACGGGTGTACATGGTATTTTATCAGAGTCAAGTTAACCAATCAAAACTCGACATTCTTACATGAGGCTGGATAAAGAGCTTTGACACGTGAGAGTGTCTTGGAAGTACATTTGTTGCAAATAGAGTGGAAGCAAGAGTTAAATCCATGCTGCAGCCAGACAGCAGAAACGAAGTGTTGAATCCAAGGGTAAAGTGTGAATGGGTACCTCGTAAGGGTGGGAAAGCGGCAGTAACTCAGTGCACCTTGTGGCAGCAAGAGTTGTATGGTCCCCAGGGAGTTGAGATTGATAATAAGATGTGCCATTGAGATTGACATTCAATGATGGAGGGAAAAAATACCAGTGCCTTGAGAATACACTAGTGCGTGGATATGTGCGCTATATTAATATCCAATAATAATAATGAATAAAAAAGTGCACAAGGTCAACATTGAACAATTCTACACAGGATGAAGGGTGTGATATTTTAAGAATAATCTGATAGTGATAACAAGGATGTAAGTATCATAGCTAAAAGGCAGACAGGTCAGTTGTACTGATAATGAAGGAAGGAAACAAGATGACGTTCCATGTGAGAATACTAAGTCAAATTATGTGTTCTTTTTATGAAGATCTGGGATAGAAAACACAGATTTAAATGTTACAGCTCATTAAATGAAAATAAAATATTTTCTTCATAGATTGAAACCATACCAACACCCACTTTGAACAAACATAAAAAACATAACATATGTCAATTGATATTGTGTGATTGAACCAACGTTCAGCAAGGTAAGCCCAACCAATTTCTACTCTGTCAATCTGTTGGAATAGTTTGTGTTAATGGGGTTTTTTTCATGTTAATTGTGAATGTTGGAGAATATAGGCAAAAACTAATATTGATCATGTTGAGACCCCATGAAAATTGACTTTTTTGTATGATATCTTTTTTTTTTCATTAAAAAAATAATACAAAACAATAAAAGCAAACATGGGTATCAGAGTCCAGATTGGATGTACAGTTTAGCATGTAAGTTGAGTCGAATTTGTATTGTAAGAGATAAACATAAAAGTTTCTTAACCATCAGCTTAGCATAAATTAAGTATTTAATATTTTCTCATAACTGAGCAAATCTGACCAGTTCATCTGTTGGTATTTGCAAAAGACAAATTACAGTAATGAAAGTAAAGCAGAATCGGTGGTCCCGTGTTTCCTGAACAGACTCATGATCTGCTTTGGCATTGAGATGATTTCACATGTCAGATTTCTGTTTTCTGTGATTTTACTGACTAAATATGATGCCGAAAGCCTGTTAAGGATATACTTAATAAGCCAAAAATATAGCTTGCTAGTTAAAGGCTCCATGTTTTCCTGACTACTGACACCCTATGATGATGATGATGATTCTGTTTTCCGGGATTTTACTGACTAAATGTGATGCTGAAAGCCTATTAAGGATATACTGAATAAGCCAAAAAAATAGCTTGCTAGTTAAAGGTTCCACGTTTTCCTGACTACTGACACCCTATGATGATGATGATGATGATGATTCTGTTTTCCGGGATTTTACTGACTAAATATGATGCTGTGGCAACCGGGAGGGGGTGTTAGTGTTGCATTATTAAATTTTATGAATTTGGAAATTTGCCAGAAGTTGTAGGGGGGGATGAACTATGGGATGGTTTTGTTTGCTTTTATTGTTTTCTTTTGTATTATTTTTTTATGTTAGCACTAGTTGGTTATGGGGGATTATAAGCAACCCTAAATGCCAGGCTTTGAAGGTTTGGGTGTTTTTTTGTGGGCTTAGAAGTGTTTTTCGTGTTAGGGGACACCCCCCATCAGGACCCTTATACAGACATTTTGCTTATTGGAGAAATAACAAGATCTGTGTCAATGATCAGTTGCTATTGCCATAGTCAGCTGAAAAGCTTTTATTGTCATTTACATGCATTAACCTTTACATTACACAATATGAAAGTCATCAAGGTGGTGACAGGATTTCATTAATAATGTGTGGGTAGAGAAATCTATAGGAGCGACCACCTTGCCCGTCCTTGGCTGGTACACAGGTCCATTACGGCCCATAATTACACATGCAGCATTCAACCACACACCAGTGTTATTCCCATTATAGCTGTATCATGTGTCACATCGGGCTGCCGAGTGGGTTGTGTTATGTAACATCAAGGTTACATTTCTTTGCTGTTGCTGTTACATTTCCATGGGAAATAATGTCTAAAAAACTTTTGAAAGCTTGGAATGGGGATAATATTTCTTGTTTCGCAATTGTACTTGGTCGCTGTGGTAAAATTCTTGTAGGACAACAGGTGTTTTGTCAGTCCAGTTACAAAATGTAATATCGTGTTTATCGCTTTGAGATAATTTGATATGGTTTTTTTATTAATAAACAATATAAGCTGAAAACTGCTAGTTTGAAACAAATGACATTATGAAGCCTTCATGACCTTATCAACTTTAGATCATTCTTGATACATGGATTTTCTGGATGAAAAATCCTGCATCTTATGCACATAGAAATTTAAGATGGATGCTGAACAAGTACCGGAGATAGATGCCTGAGATTTACTACGGGATGCTGAAATTCATAAGCTTGTTTAAGTTTTAATATTGACATTTCATAATTTGATACAATTTAAAATAGATTTCCATATATAATCATTACAGTACAGCAGAATACTCTTTAATCTTCCAGCACTGGCACTTACAGATTTTGTTTCGGTCGGGAACTTCGAGAGCTATTTTTAACTAACGGGCTCTTGACATGCACACTCTTACATCATGAAGTAGAGTTCTGTGTTCAGTGTTAGCTATTCTCTTGAACACCCATTTATTTAACCTAGGGCACCTACAATCAATAAGAGTCTTTACATTCTGTGGTCTTCAAAAATATATAACCCTGAATAATGCTTGGTGGATAGAACATTCTTCTTCATCGTTACCAAAATTGAAATATATCTCCTGGACAATTTTGATGACAATCTACTGAAGTACTATCAGATAAATCAATATTTAACCATACAGTAGAGTGTTTTGTCATTTAATTAGTAGTTGCCAAGGTTAAAACATCATCTGATATGGATGGATGATACTGAAGGTGGTGTTGTATTGGTTGAAAAGGTAGTGGAACCGTGGAGATGATATTTATCATCCCATTTAGATTAAGAATTGGATCTTATTTTCTCGACTTGGGGCCATTTGCAAAAGGTGACCTTTCCGCTTTTTTCGATTGTGATTACCGTTCTTTAACTTTTTAAACACAAGATAATTGTAGCACTAAAATTGCTTTTTTACTAAGATCGCTTTGTACAAGGGGACCATGTGGCTGCCATCACCTGGCCTGACCATTTTTTTGGATGTTGTTCTAAGAATGGGTGACTACTGTTTTTCACCACCTGGGCTGGTTGTCCCAAAGGAGTGTTGATAACCTCATATAATGCGGGGGATATAGTCAACGTCTCATCTGTCTGTCCGTTCAGTATCTATCAACAAAACTTGGTGCCTTTTGCTATTTGCATATTTTTTCATTTTCATTTGTCTCGGTTACCATGGAAACGATTTGGACTTAGTCTCACAAGGGATGGTTAGGCTTCATTCAATATCTTTCAACAAAAATTGGTAGATGTATGAAAAATGACCTAAAGTGGTGCCTTTTGCTATTTGTGAACTTCTAGCATTTATAGTCTTCATGATTACCATGGTAACAATTTTAACTTAGTCTAAACTATTCAAATTGGACTTTAAGTAACTGTCAGATGA